GTGACTCATCTGACCACAGAACAGTCTTCCATTTTGCCACACTCCATTTTAAATGACCCCTGGCCCAGTGCACACGTCTGAGCTTGTGGAGCTTGCTTAGAAATGGCTTCCTCTTTGCATTGTAGAGTTTCAGCTGGCAACGGCGGATGGCACGGTGGATTGTGTTCACTGATAATGCTTTCTGGAAGTATTCCTGAGCCCATTCAGTTATTTCCTTGACAGTGGCATTCCTGTTTGAGGTGCAGTGACGTTTAAGGGCCCGGAGATCACGAGTATCCAGTAGAGTTTTACGGCCTTGACCCTTACGCACAGCGATTGTTCCAGATTCTCTGAATCTTTTGATGATGTTATGCACGGTTGATGATAACTTAAAAGTCTTTGCTATTTTACGCTGGGTAACACCATTCTGGTATTGCTGCACTATCTTTCTGCGCAACAATGGTGGAATTGGTGATCCTCTTACCATCTTGGCTTCTGAGAGACACTGACACTCTGAGAAGCTCTTTTTATACCCAATCATGTTGTCAATTGACCTAATTAGTGTTAATTGGTCTTCCAGCTGTTTGTTATATGCTCAATTTCCTTTTTCCAGACACTTATTGCCACTTGTCCCAACTTTTTTGGGATTTGTTGACACTGTGAAATTTTGAATCAACATATTTTCCCTTTAAAATGTTACATTTACTCAGATTAAACTTTTGATCTGTCATCTATGTTATATTACGAATAAAATATTGACATTTGCCATCTCCACATCATTGCATTCAGTTTTTATTCACAATTTGTTTAGTGTCCCAACTTTTTTGGAATCCGGTTTGTAGATAGCTCTTTGAACCGCCTCAGTTTAGAGAAACAGAGTTTAAATCTGACCGGACTGACGGCAAACAGCTAAACCAAATGTGGCCAAGATGCTTCTATCTTAAAGAAATTGACTGATCATTTATCAAGTGCTGATCTGTCAACTAGTTATCAGTCATTAGTACGACCATTACATCAGTCAATGAGCGCAGAGTACAGAGAAAAAAGTGGCAAACTAAACAAATGGTGTTATGCTAAGTGTAGAGGTTTAATATTCTGATGTAGCATTCTTTCACACTGGTATGACGTTTTAGAAATAGTTTTCTCAAAAGCTTCAAAACCAAATTTTAAATATGGGCCCTTGTTTAGCTAGTTAGCTTGTGTGAAACCTTCATACACTTTGCTCTGTGACTGTCATCATTGAGGTGCTATTGAAAAGTTTTCTAGCATCTTTTTAAAAAACAATCAGACTATCACTTGAAAACAATGTCAATCTCAAAAATGTCAAATGTTAATGCAAATACATTTTATAACTTTTCATTTCCACCAGTTTTCCATAACATGGTAATGTATATGATAGTAGCAGCAGTGAGCTGTAGTACTTTCAGTGATATTAATGACTGTGTAAAGAATTAAAAACATATTTTGCACCAACTGCTTTGACATTTTTTTAAGGTGGTATCAATCCACTTTGTTCTTTCTCTCCACTCAGACTAGACGTTAATTTGTAAATCCAGCCAAAAGTGAACTATTTCTACAAACTAAGGTCATTCAAAGAGCTACGCAAAACAGGTCAGTGTTTCCCATACCATTATACAAGCAGGGCGCCCCACCCTGTCAAGACCCGAGCACCTTGCATACTGAACCCCCCCCCCCCCCACACACACACACACACACACACACTCAAAAACTGTTGGTACAAACGGTGCTCAACACAGATGTCTGTCTACCACCACGTCGACAAAAATCACAAGATATGAGCACCCTGCCAAGGCAAGTAAACTAGGGGAAACACTGCAGGTAAGATACTGTTTACACCTATTCCACAAAACTTAATTTCAAAGGATCAAAACCATTTTGTTTATCGTTGTCCCTGTTTACACGAAAACGATTTCTGGTGAAAATGGAAGAGTTTTGTTGCGTTTGTACTGTTCATTTACACAAAAATAGCAAATGTTTTCTCTGACAACAGCACAATTTGAGAACGGGTTCCAGAGTGCAATGGTTCAAAAATGTCCGGGTGTCTGTTGTCGTGTAAACAGAAACAATAGATCTTTTCTGTCAGGGACTCCCTGGCGCATGCGTAGTATGACACAAAACATAACGGCTTCCTACAAACCACAGAAGAAGAAACTGTCAACAACAGTGGATACCAGAGTACTGTTTGTGCTTCTGACTCTTATAAATCTAATTTCCCTGAACTGCTTTCAGTTTGGACATCACCTGGACTTTTGTTATGGTGGTTTTCTCATGAGAAAAACGTTAGAACATTTTTTTGGGGGGGGTGGGGGGGGGAGTTAACGCATGCGCGCTTAGTTTCAAGTTTCAAACAACATAGTGGCGTGGCGAGGGAATTGCACCTTTTCCATATTTACCATTGCTGTGTAAACATCCATCCATTTTCTTTACCCGCTTATTCCATTTTGGGTCACGGGGGTCGCCGGTGCCCATGTCCAGCAATCACTGTGCGAGGGGCGGGGTACACCCTGGACGGGTCGCAAGTCCATCACAGGGCCACATAGAGACAAACAACCATTCACTCTCTCACTCACACCTAGGGACAATTTAGAGTTACCAATCAGCCTAACATGCATGTTTTTGGTCTGTGGGAGGAAACCGGAGTACCCGGAGAAAACCCACGCATGCACGGAGAGAACATGCAAACTCCACCCAGAAAGGCCCCTGGACCGGGGTTTGAACCAGGGACCTGCTCGCTGAGAGGCAGCAGCTCTACCAGTTGCGCCACCGTGCTGCCGCTGTGTAAACAGAGATTGTAATTAGAACATTTTCATGTAAATGTGTTAATAGAAATGGGGGAAAAAATTCAGTTTTCATTGCACTGTTGTCGTGTAAACAGGGGCCTTAGTGTGCGACCACACAAAAGCATAAACTTGTTTTGTTGAAGCAATAAAATAATGTTTTGATCTTGTTAAAAAAACATGTTTGCTGTGTCGACACAAATTATATTCCTGTTATTTTGAGATTTTTAAAAGAAGCCCTTTCATGCCCTGGGCACTCATGCTTCGATGCATTTTGCTCACCTCGTTGCCGTACATCATGAGGTGGTGTGTGGTGATGAGTGCTTTGAAAACCACAATCCAGCTGTTGCTTGCTGTGCGCTCCAGCAGCGTGTCTGCCAGGTGGGGGATGCTGACGTTCAGCTCATTGGTGCAGTGGATCAGGTCTAGATGACACAAAGAAACAAGCATGAAACCACCTGAACGTGCAGAGAAATTGGTAAAAGACGACAGGAAATGAGTGAAACAGGTTTGTAGCCCAGAGGAACTGTTTAAGGGTTTAGGCACTTTTTCTTAAACATGTCACTCCAGCTGCTCACTTACTGTAAGTAACTGTGTAAAAGCAGCAGCTTCATGGCAAAACAGTAATTTATATGCTTGGAGAGAGCTCAAAAGTAGAGTTGTTCTGAATCAGTGGAGTGAGCAAACAACCGGAATGACTATTCACATTGGCTGCTGAATTCATTTTCACTGTCTCAATAGCTGCACACAAATCTAAGAATAAAAGGTTTTAAGACTGTGCAGACATAAATCAGAACCAAAGCTATTGTATAAAAAAATAAAACATTTTGTAGCTGTAATCCAGCAGAGCTGCTTATTTATTACAGTGGAATATATATAAATTATCTGGAGCTTTAGCTCAAGTTAAAAGTGGAACAAATCTCTACAGGAGAACAGCTCAGGTTGTGCAGTTTGACAAATGTTAAGGGTCTGACAAATGGGAGTCAAAGGTTTTTAGGCAGGAAAAAAGACTGTCTTATATTTTCTGTGAAACTATCAGGAAATGAGATGGTGTGATTTGGAAATTATATAACTGGGACAGGCTGTACAAACAATGCCTCCATCTTTTATCGCTCATCTGAAGTCAGCTCGCAGAGGGAAATCAAGAGTAGTCCAGATAGTAAGGACATCCTTACCAGATGCCCGAACCACCTCAACTGGCTCCTTTCAATGTGGAAGCAGGGACTACTCTGAGTTTCTCCCAGATAACTGAACTTCTCATCCTATCTCTACAGGAGAGTCCAGTTACCCTGCAGACAAAGCTCTTTTCAACCACCTGTATCCACAATCTCGTTCTTTCAGACACTACCCAAAGTTCATAACCTTAGGTGAAGGTAGGAACATAGACTGAAAGATAAACAAAGAGCTTTGCCTTACATCTCAGCTCAATCTTCACCAGAACGGACCGGCACAGAGTCTGCAATACTGCAGAAGCTGCTCAATCTCACGCTCCATTCTTTCCTCACTCATAAACAAAACCCAGAGGGCTTGAACGCATCCACCTGAGCCAAAGACTCCTCCCGACCAGGAGTGGGCATTCCACTCGTTTCCAGTTGGAGCAAACAATGCTCCCAGTTCTTAATGAATCAGGCTGCCGCTCAAAATGAATGCTCCTTTCCCAATCATGTCCTGTTTTTATAGTATAAATCATATAATGCGAAGTCTGCCAACCTAAAGTGTTTAATGACTAACAAATAAAGGCCTGGCATTCCTTGAAGGAATGCATATTGCCCGCCATCTTTCATGCACTAAATTTAGACTAAAATCCTCCTCTGTTGAGAAATGACAGAGCTGCAGCCGTTTCAATCAAGCCTTGAAAATAACAACATGCGTGATCTCATGCAGCATCATCAGGTGTCACGCTCAACGCATGTGTTGCAAATGACTCTCAGCTACTACCATATCAAACTTAAGATTAATATCTGTAACACTGGTTTTGTCAGACGTTTTTGTTTTGGCTAAATTACTTTCTGAGCTTCATTAAAATCTGTGCATTTGTTTATGAGATATTTTGCTAACAATACAGAAAAACTAATCCACACACATATAGGTACGGGCGAAAGCATCGCCCAATGTTCAACAATTTTAATAAATATATTGTAATGCTACCTGTTCAGTGATATTCAAGTTTAAGATCCTGTCTTGGATTAACAGTTTATTTAGGAGAATTATTGAAAAATAGACATCAAAATACTGAATACTGTTGAAAACATTTAAGACATAGACAGAGAATATAAAATAAATGGTGAACAAGTAGAAGGAATAGAATTCTACAAGAATTTAACAAATTAAAAACATAATGGACTCAAAACAATCAAGTTTAAATGTAATAACACAAGAAATGAACAACAATGAACACAGAATTGCTGCAACTAAGAAAATTAAGTCTATTCACAAAGGTTGCGTGGAAATGCAAAGGTTAGGTTGAAGCCAGAACGCAGACAAGAAGAGGCTGAGAAAATCTGAATTTGTTGTAGAAGCAAATAGCGCTGCCATGGCTTATTTTAAAACGAAGAGATGTCTTCTGCACCCACCAGTCCGTGTCGGTGCCATGGTTACACACCTGATGCACTGAAAGCACCGAAAACCTCCAGCAACCTGCCTCAGCTACTCCCGTTCAGCTTGATTTCATTTTACTTTGTTTATCCGTGTAAAAACGCCTCAGCAGGACCAACACAGTCAATAACAAGACTGAATACGGTTTCTTGACACGCTCAGGTTTACCTGCAATAAAAAATAAATAAAGTGCCACACATTCCCTCTGCTGTAATAATGTCATGACATTTGTCTCCTGCTTAAGGGCCAAACATTAGCCAAAGGTCTACACATCTCTAAGAAGTGGAGAGTGAAATGTGTTTTTGTTGGATACAAGAAAAACACCATTGAATTTAATTCAAAAACCCAAGGACATGTGTAACCACATCCAGCTCTGAAACTAAGACGTTCTCCGAATGTCAGCCTCACATCCTACGATGATCAGCCATTACATTATGAAAACCTTGTTTAGTATTAAAGAGGTTTCTGTTCTGTTCCTGGGGAGTCCAATAGATCCCTGTGAACCAGATTGGCAAGTGTTTTCAGGCCAGGTGACTCTTTTTCAGCCATTTTGGTGCAGCTTTGGGGCCTGCAGCTTTCTTGTTGAGAGGGAGGAAGCTGCATGTCTCAGACGTCCTTCACAGTCATTGTCTGCCCATCAGACTGAATCAGACTTATAAAAACAGTTATATGAAGGTTATCATGGTGCCATATGCATGAATAATGCAAAAGCCTCTATTTTTTCCCCCTGATCCATGCTAACTACTCTCAAGAAGCTCCAAAGCACTGATACAATCTGTCTCACACAAACATGGCTGACAATCAGCTGGTGAAGCAGGTAGATAGGTAGCTGCTGAAAACATTATTATTTTGTCATAGTTTAAATGAGATAAAAACAGTGTAAGGGGAGTGAAAACTTCAAGTTATCCTGAAAACATATCCAACTGAAAGGATAATCACTCTATAAAGGCTTATTTCCAACAAAGTTTAAATAAGAAGTCTTTTTACCTAAATATTTGCCGTTTTCTAGCAACCGTACATCAAATCTCTTAATCTAAAATGTAAAAATTCTCCATTTAGATTTTCTACATCATCTCTCTCTCGCTCTCTGAGCGAATATATATATATAAGCTAGGATTAAAGCACCAATCTGTGGCAGTGCGGATAGTCAGAGAGAGGTAATAAACTATTGAGTATACGATAAGAAAACTGGTACCACTGGTAATCTGCAGTCTCTATATAAATCAATAACCTGATAGGGAATGAGATTTACGCTATCTGTGTCAGACAGGGTGGTGTTCTAAAACATATTACCTTAAGACACATTAAATGAAACACCTAGCAATACACCTTTCATGTCAGGTGTTGCATACGAGTTTGGTCAAACCTTGACGATAATGGTGAAGATCTACCCATGGCTGAAGAAGTTAGCTACTTAGGCAGCACAGTTAGATATGATGGAGGAGAAGACAGTGACATAAAGAACCATCTAAGTAAGGCCAGAAATGTCTTCAGAATGCTTAGCAGTGTTTGGAGGTCCCAGCAGTACAGCACAAAGACCAAGCTGAAGCTGTACCTGAGCTGTGTACTGTTATACGGATCAGAGTGATGGAGGATGACTGCCAGTGATCTCACAAGCTCTCAGTTTTTTCACACAAAGAGCCTGCAAAGAATCCTGAGAATTTTCTGTCCGAACACCATCGCCAATGAGCAACTACTTGATGGAGATGAGGAGAAGGTGGAGGTGGATTGGACATGCGTTTAGGAAGGAACATGGGAACATTACCAACACAGACCTACATTGATACCAGAAGACGAGCACAAAAGAGGCAGACCGAAGAACAGTGATGAACGGTAGAGGTAGCAATGAAGACCCTAAACCACACTTGGGGTACCATCCAGATGTTGGCCCAAAACAGACAGAAGTGGAGGACCTCCGGTGCTGTTTTTCATGCCATGTTAGGGCATGTGTTAAGGGTGATTCTCAGCTACCAACACATCTAATTTTACCTCAATATGTCTGAATTTGACTAAGTTATAGTCATTTTTGTGTTTCCTAACTTGAGTTATCTGTGAGGTCCATTTTGAATTTGGTTGACTCCGTTTGTACATCCAGTGATGAATTCCTGACCGTTTCATTAAAAGCCATCCATTGGTTCATGAAATATGTTGCTAGAGGTATAGACAAATGAACACACATACAACTTTCACATTTGGCAGTGGGCAATAGTTAAGATAAAATAAAAGAATGATGTCTCACCTTGTGTGAGACTGAAGACATTTAGTCACCCATAAAGGGACTTACTGTAAAAAGCAATAAAAACTTTATTCACTCAGTTTTTAGACCTTGGTTTAAAATTAAATGAAAAATTATTGAGGGCATGAAATTGTTTTGAAAAGATAAGGTCATTAGGATGACATACACACGCGTGCGCACGTGGAATTAAGTGGTTTCCATTTAAGCCCACAGCTGTGCTGTCAGACTGCCTGTGAGGCAAGGCTTCGTCATCTTTTGGATTTTTGCACATCTTTTGTCAATCCTCTGACTCTTTGTGCCATTTTTACTTAATGTGTCGGCTAGGATAAAAGCACCGTAGAAATAAGGCAATTTATGCTTTTCAACTAATTTAGTCCCGTTTGGGAGAAAATATAACAATGACATGGCACCCGTCGATGGAAGTAATATACTGAATTACAGCCAATGATTCAGCTTTGAGGCCAGCAGGTCATTTTACTAATAATTATTTTCATGTTATCTGATTGCCCACTGTCCAAACCATGTGTTTGTGTTTCCATTTGTTTGTCTCTTAGCAAAATTTCTCACTCGACGGATTTGATTGAAACTTTCAGA